TCAGCAGGCCAGCCCCGGGAGCCCTGGCCCCCACCCCGGCCTGGCACAGCCAAAGGCCGCGGCACAAGGGGCCGCGCTGGGGCCCCCCCGGCTCGCCCTCGCCCGGTGCCACCGGAGCAGCCAGGCTGCCCCGCTCACGCTACCCGTGCTGCTTCGTTCAGCCGCCGCAGCGCTAATTGCGCTGACCCTCCCGTTCACAGCGGTGAGGGGGCCTAGGGTCCGACCCCCCTCCCGGATCACCGGGGTGCTGTTTTACAGCACCGCCATTGAGGCAAACGAGCGACGCAAGGTTAAAACCAGGCGTTTGGGACAGGAGCGTGTTTATTCACAACCGGCGTGAAGTCAACTGGCTTATTGCTTGCAACCAACTTCATTTTTTGCAAAGAAACCAAGTCCCCCCCCCAGCCGTACACTGTTTCGGAGCCCCGCACCAAGAGAGATTTACCTTGTACACGTCCTTTATCATCCTCACTTTTTGTCCTGAGAACGGCCCCGCTCACCACCGCTCCCTCCCCTGAGACCTTATGCTACCGACGTGGCTTTTGCCATTAGTCTAGTTAACGGACAACCTATCAAATGCCAAAGGTTATCACCCGCTGCATGTCGTACACGTTATTTGTTTGAAAGTCTTGGGATCCGTGGGGCTCACCGAGAAGAGGGCCAGCTGCAGCCGACAGCCATGGAAGACAAAGTGTTCAGCGAGCAGCTGTGAAGGAGCACTTCGCTCTGGCAGAAGGTACGCGCACACCGTCACGGTGCATCGGGCTGCTTGCTGCTCGCGGGGAAGGCAGTGGTCTCACTCTAGACCCATACAAAGAGCTCCAGGATAGAGGAGTGAGCGGACATGTGAGTGTTTAAAGTCACCCTGCTCCCAGCACAGCGTTCCCAGTGCTGCCACGCCATCGCGGTGAGGCTGAGGCCAGCACTCGCGACTCCCTTCCCCATCCAAACTCCCACCGCAGCCAGCGCTGCGGGGAAAGCAGGCAGTGGGCTGGGTGTGTCCGACAAGACTCCTAATTGCAGTTTGCAATGAAGAAAGCATGGACGCCGCATGCTGTTACAGAGACCGACGATTCCCACTGTAAATCCTGGCTGTATGGAGCATCCAGCTCTGCCAGCCACCCCGCGGGTTTGCCCAGTAAGCCCCTTTCTTGGCTAGAGCCCAAACTCCAGTGAGTTAGTCACGCTGTCTAGAGCGAATCTGCCTTCCCCAGGACACCTCCGCGTTACTCAGAAGCACCTGCCTCGTCCTACATCAACGCTTCAGTGTTCAAAGGATACGTCCTGCAGGAGCTACGGCCAACCGGGAGAGCCGAGACACCTCCCAGCAGGGCCCAGTTTGGTCCAGGGCAGCTACTCCCAGTCCTGCTGGTCACAGCACCGTTTGCCAAGAGCCCCAGCGCTGACAGAGCCACTTTCTCCATCACCAGGTCCATAACAATCGATCCGCAAGATTAATGTAACCAATACAGACTGTTGCAGGGGGGGCATAGGCTCCATGCCAAAGCTGCAGGGAAACAACCGCAGGCTCGCCGGCGTCGCCTCCCCAGTCACGCGGCTCCGCGGTGGCTGAGCTGCTGCACGAGGAGAGGAGACGGCAGAGCTTGGTTAAAGCCAGCAGGCACTTCGCCTTGAAGAAAGTCCTTTCCCAGATGGAAGGACCTCGCCAGGACATCTCCGCTCAACGTGACCTGCGGAGGAGCCCAGCCGGGACCCCACTGGGGAAGCCCCTGCTCAAAACACCCTGTCGAATTCAGTCTGGTTGGTGGTGGCCGGGTTCCTGCCCTGGTTAGCCGGCTGCTGGGGCATGTGGCCACCCCTCCTGCGCGGCGGGGCCAGGTACTCGAACATGGACTGGTTGTGGGTGGACAGCATGTTTTTGAGGTCCGAGGGCATGGGATCTGACCAGAAGAAGTCGTGGTTCAGCGCATCGTCGCTGTCGATCCGCTGGGCGGGATCCAGCACCAGCAGCTTGTCGATGAGGTCAAGTGCGTAGGGGTCTTTAACGTAGGCTTTCAGGCGATCCTTCACCTTGCGCTTCTGGCCCTTGGGGAGATCCAGCTTTTCGTACAGCTCGTATTTATCCACGTTCGGCCAAACCTGGGAAGGGGCAGGAAGGGAGGGTTGGGAAGAAATAGTTACGGAGAGGAGAGGACAAGCCATTTTTGATGCTAACACCTCAGGCAAACCAGGGCGAGGTCTGCTGAGAGAACAATACTATTTTATAACCTCCAAGCCAGCAGACCTCATTCCCACAGCGTGAAGGAGGCACTAAAAGAGTGCACTAAAGCCTGGAGACATGTGGACAAGTCAGGACAGAGTCCTCCTGGTGTGGGAATGGCACACAGGATGCTCCTGGATTTCTGGTTCTCCCATAAAAGAGCTACTAGAGAGCACGGCTCAGGCCAGTTACAACATCCAGAAAGGTAAAATGATAAAACTTACCGCTAAATAACAACCTGGATGTGCGTGGTACCTTTTATCCTAAGAAAGCAAAGCCTGCTGCAATCACCAGCACTTAACCCTGGTCCGGGAGACACCACAGCAGGGATTTACATACAAAAGAAAGCACCTTCAATGTATGTACATGACGTATGTAACAGAGGCGTCAGGCCTCTGCAGCCGCCTGTGCGAACTGCCTGCCTATCGCACCCTGCAGATTACAGCCCTGGCCCAGAGACCCCTCAGCTCCGTCCCCACAAGAGGGCAGGACAAGCCGCTGTTCAATAAGGAGCTGAGAAAGGGCTGAGTGCTGGCACCAGGGCCCACCCCACGCCACAGATCACAAGCCAGAACTAAAGAGGCTTTTCAAGGTGACCACTGCAAAGCACCTGAGACCAAACCCCTCAACACAAAACAACAAGCTCTTCTTTAAGCAGAAATTCAGAGGGTGTTTATGACAGACAACCCCCAAACACAGACTAGAACACATTCCTACAAGTAACGTTCCATTCTTTCCCACCCAGCGCAGCCAGCATCCTCTCAAAAACAAGGACGTGACTCGCCCCTGCCGAAGGAGGTCTGGGAGGCAAAGTTCACCCTCTTCTCCTAAGGAGGTTGAGCACAAGTAACGCGACAGCTGTAGTTTTACACACAGCAGCAAGGAAAGTGCAGTGTCCCATTGCGCACTGGGCTCCCAGGAGGCAAAGAGCACTTGCAGGAGCTTCCCCAGCCTCCCTGCCGGCAGCGGACACACGCCAGTGCCTTGAACGCGCAGCAGCAGCCAGCGCACAGGGCAGGGAAGAGGCCCAGGAGTGCCGGGTCTCAGACCCTGCCCACACCACCCTCTTTGCAGCTCTCCTCCTGCCTTCCGCAGCTTGCCCGTGCTCTCGCCCTCACCTCCGGCGTGATGGATCCACAGAGCTGGCTGATGAGGGTGAGCTGGTGCTGCTCTGTGTTCCCCTGCATGATGGGGCTGCGGGTCCACATCTCTGCCATGATGCAGCCTCCGCCCCAGAGGTCAATGGGGGGACCGTAGTCCC